TTGGAGAGATGCCAATTGCTCTAGGCAGAGCGACTGCATCGCGCGATGCAATCGCAGAGTCTGACCGACATCTGAACATGGCTAGATACTGTAATATTTCGACTGGCGCAAGCGCAACAGAAAAACAGGAAACAAAGTCGTAGTTATAAGGCAGATTACTGTAAAGTGCGTGGAATGCTTAGAAACCGCGGAAATTTCATGGTTTGCTCCACCCCCCCAAAAAAATTGCGTCACTGTCTATGTCAATATAGGTGATTCCTGTTTCAGGGAGATGACGCCTTTTCAATCGCCACAGCCAAAGGAGGAGCTCTCTCCACGCTCATATGCGAAAGTAAGTCCGTTGTTTTCGACTGATATTATAATTGATATCGACAATATAACTTGTAAATTTTTCTCAAAAGCAGTTTTCTTGAGTTGTTCTTTTCTAAGGGGCTAATCCTTTTCAAGTAATAGATTTGCATGTTTCTGTACAGTGAATTTGGGTCGAAGGTCTGTTCGTCTTTTTCTTTATTCTCATCAATCAAGGCTGGCACGAACTGTTCGTCGAACTCAGTCAGTGGAGTCTGTGGAGTACGACCGTGCCTCCATCACTTCTTCGGAGGCTATCTCATCACAACTCTTCATGGATAAGTAAGCAAATCTAAATTTTCATGTCAGAACCCTCCAATGCGATCTCAGTGGATAGCTGTTCTTTTAATGTAGTATTAACACCTGCTGATTATTTAGGAGTGAGAAATATCCAGAAGGTAAACCTGAATCATGGACTGACTTGATATGGCCCCAGCCAAAGTTGATTAGAGTAAATGAAGCAAGTAAAGGATTCCCTTTCCCGAAAGACAATCGGTTGGTTATAATTTACTAGCATTTTTTGTGCGGCAGATATAATTGTGATCCTGGTTAGGCTAAAGATCTACTTCTGCGACGCATCCAGTGGTTGTCCTCGGAGGATGATGCAAGCGATTCAGATCAGCGCTCCTTTGCTATCAAGTGTTGGTCTCGAGTTGGACTACCGTGGTCACAAGGTATTCCATCTTGGTTTATTCTTTTCTTTGAATGCGTCAACAAAATATTTTCCAAGTTGCAAAATACACCTTGAAATAAGATGTTCAAAAACTTTTTTGCTCAGACCGCTGATCACGATCATTCTCCGTTGGATGGTAAAGTGACATGTGGTATTTTTGCTGATGGACGTCCATCGGGATCATATGCACTCACTATTGATCCACATGGCGTGGAAATTGTCGGAAGCGATTATTGCGGTGTTCGCTATGCCTTTGCAACGTTTGTGCAAATCATTCGTCTTCAGAAGTAAGTTTTATTCATCATTCTTCTGAGATTTTCCTTTTTTCGCGTTTTCGTTATTATAGTGTAATTTTGTGTAAATGTCTGTGGGTTTGCTTGCGCGTAAAATAGTTGATCAAAAACTTGATGTTGGTAAGCTAACCATCAAATCACTGCTTTCACTGTTTCAAAATTCTGATTACAAATAAGCAGCTTGCTTTACATACTTGGATGTTCTATAATACAATTTTCGCAGGTTCTAACATTTGAAAAACATGAATTTATATTAATGAAATTAGAGTCGCCGTTGAATCAAAAGTCTTGAACGCAACTCCAGACAACCCGTTTCTTCACCCTTATGGGGTGTCGGTAGCCTATCAGTCCAAGGCGCGTATACGACTTGGACCGACACCCCATTAGCGTGAGGGAACGAATGTCAGAATGTCAAAGAAGCGGAGGAGCTCTTCATAGGTTTTTATGGTGTGCTGGCTATTGACGCAAGTTTTACTGCAAAAGTTGCTTGAAATGCTGTCGCGCTACGATTGTACAAGGTACAACCATTTTCTAATGGAGCATTCGTATAAAATGAATGTTGGAATGTTCCGTTTGACGAACACCGCCTCACTACCCGTTTGATGACGAAGTCTACAACAGATAAGGCTTCTTTCGGATCCCAGCAGCTTTGGTTAGCTCGTTTTTTGTTGCTGCTGGCCAGCGAGTGACCTGGTGATCAAATACCTATATAATTTAAACGTAGCACAAGCAATCTTCAATCTTTATTCTCGATAGACTTGTAAACCAGGCCAGTCTGACATTAAGTGCACATGACAACTGCATGGGCGTCTGAAGACTGTGCAGTCTAATTGCCTATGGTATACTTCCCTATGTGGGAAATAGGGAAATATACCATAAGCAATCAGACCCCGTTAGCTCCAATAACAGCGTCCAATAAGTTGAGCTGTCCTGAAGTCTTTTCTTGAAGTGCAGTAAAATTTTGCGTGGAAGAGATTGTTTTGAACACGTCTTTTTCATAGGTTTGCGTATCGTCACAGTAAGGAAAATGGATCACCGAATGTAATTCAAACTGGAGCTTTTGTAAACGGATGGCCTCAATCGAGTGACTCGCTGGTCGGTGGTAATGGTTATGCAAGTGGTGACGCAAATTCATCGCGGGATTCAGAGCTGCCTGGCTTACCGAGAGGTGAATATTTCAAGTTTTTTTCTCTATGTGACGTTTCATATGTGAAAATTTTGAGGTGAGGCTATCCCTTGCCTTACGGTACGCGATCACCCTGATCGCCCGTTCCGAGCCATTTTCCAGGATTTTTCCGGTTGTCGAATTCTTGAACACAGAGACGGTATTTACTTTATTGGAGTCTTCCACCTGTTGTTAGTGTTGCTCACGAATTGTTTTTTCCAGCTTCTTCAACTAGCCACACGTTTGTCATACTGTAAAGCTAACTACCTTTTTGTGAATTTTGAAGTTCGTACAACCGATCGATATCAGTTACCTTATACGAATCGTGATTTGTTTCACATGATGCAAGTGTGCGAGGAACTTTTTGTAACGGTAATTTATTTCTGAAAATTAAGTTTGGTAGTTGAGTTCTTGTAAATGATTTTCTGTTTGCAGCTTGTGCCATCCCTTGACACGCAGTCCAATTACATTGAACCAAGTGCAGCTCGTGAAATCATTGAGCACTTCCTAGATGACTTTCCTCTAAGTAAAACTGCTCATTTCGGCCACAATCTCTCCAGCATACTCATTGCAAACAAAAATGGTAAGCATTTGAGGGTTCTTGTAAAGTTTTTTTTTCTTAGAACTTCTTAATTGTAACATTTTGAGTGCTTGCTGCTATACAACGTCGAGTTCCAAAGATATTCCTTTCATCGCATGTTGATGAAAAAAATTCAGGTTTGGTGAGTCTCAACTAATTATCGCTGTTACAAAATCTTTCTTTTACGACTTGATTTAACTTCCAATTGCCTGACTCAATTGTTTTGCTGATTGGAAATAATTCTAGCTATCAACAGTACCTTCGTACGTTACGCTGTGCATTGAAGGATGCTTCCCGTTCGAAGCTGACAGGTTGCTGTCGCCCAGAGTTTCTATTGTGCTGAAGTTTTCTACAGGTAGCACATCTCTATATCAGTTGTCATCAAAAACCATCGTTGTAATTTGAAATGAACCCTTCTAGGCGATGATGGTTATCTGTGCGCTGCTCCGGATTCTACGGCGAAAAAAGCTGTGCTCGCTGCTCGTTTGGGAGAAAAATGCAATGTGCTAGGTAGCTCAATTGTTTTGGAACTGCTATATGTGGGAAAATGCACTTCTTATCTGCATCTTTACCATTACTTTTTGGACATTGATTTTCAACTCCTCCAGAAAAATGGTAGTAATACACATTACAGTGGCTCCTAATATTATAGACACTTACTTGTACAACGTCTGGAACTCATACCTTTCTTGACGCTTTTAAGTTGCCCGTTTCTGTGTTTTTTTCGACCTTCAGCGAATCCGTACCGTAGTACACCAAAAGGCGAAGAAGTAGTAATGCTGCGCCTTATGTTCGCTAAAGTGCAAATTTCCGGCTAAGTTCATCTTCAATTACCTGTAATGTGTCTTGTTTGCTAGGTACGATGGTTTGCGATCTCTCCACTGGTTGCGAAGCGATGCCGCCTTCATTATCTTACATGTCGCTGTTAGGCATCATTGGGTGTAGCCTGGAATGGGTCTTGTGATATGAAGAAGTTTGCCTTCTTACAACCTGCTATAGCGGCTCATCATCTGTTAATGGATGGGTAAGTGCCTTAATCGTAGAGTATCGTCTCACTTAGTAATCGTTTTGTGAACATTGAGATTCGCAGTTGGAGCAATCGACTACAATTTTGTTGTCTCTCTGATGAGACTTGTTTTATTGTTTGTTTGTTATAACCAGGCAGTGGCTTTCGTTGGCCAGTGTCCTTCACCACGAAATCCAGTTCGCGTACGCGAAATGTATTTTACAAGTATGCCTCCTTCATCACTTATCTAATTCAGCGATATGACTGCTTTATTCGAGCAAGCCGCCACGCTAGGGCGTGTAGAACATGAACTCACGAAGTTTGCCTGTGGGATTTGGCGTCCTCCTCTAGGAAATTCCACCATGAACGAAGATGGAGATGCTCATGTAGGTGTATAAATTTGCATTATCCTGTGGAGTGTTCCCTAATTGTGTGATTTCTGAAGCTTCAGATAAGTGGTTTCGGGCAAAACAAGAAGATGCCAATTTCGGTATTCGTAGAGATGATACTAAACCCTGAAAATCTCAATCTTGAACGCCTTACACCGATTATATTCAAGGTTTCTAATTTATGCTTTTTTCCTTTTGTGCATTTTTGATTTTTCTGTAGTCGCTACATAAAATAAACTCTTTCAGAAGGCAAGAATTGAGTTACGGCGGAGCTTGATGGCTCTTGATGCTGCTCGAAAGACATTGCCATATAATTTCGAGTTAGCCTTAGTGCTTGCAGAGATAAAGTTGGTCACTGAGTTGATGGTTTTGACAAGCAGGTGATGTTCCACTTTCAGCTCCACAAGTTTTCTTCACTCTATTTTTCAAAGACCATTCACTCAAATGTGAAGTTTTAGATTGGGGCAAGCTTTATGCATGCACAGGACTAAGCCTGCACAAGGAAAGAATCGCGATGAAGTCTTCCACTACTCTCCTGGTCGAGTAGGTGTCGCTCATCTGCCACTGACGGTGCGAACGGATCTTGCTAATAGGTTAGTATTCGTTGCAGTGATGTTGTTTAGTCAATTGATGTTGATGTGATTTTATCAAATATTGTTTTATTTTTGTAGTCTGCTTGAAATTCGAACCCAATTCCAACATGTATGGCTATCACGGTCGATTCCGAGCACATTGCCCAATGCGTTAAAAATGTTCGACAATCTTTTCCGGTATGTGTTTTTTGAATGAGTCATTTCAGAAGCATGAGTGTGTTTTTTGCAGAGCGCTTCTACCACCGGATCTTCAGGAAGTAGGTAAACAATTACTTTGATGCGTTACTACTTGAACGGTTTGGAGAGTATATTCCCTCATATCTTAAACTATACATTCTTTGGTTTTGGAATTCACGTATTTCTCGATTTCTATGGACCATATACCAATTACATAATCAAATGTATTGTGCTAGTATTTATTGGTAGGTGGTATTGTATAATAGTTATAAAATAACTTGCATTAATACAAAACACATAGTCCGTTGTCTGCTTTTAGTGCCTTTCAAAGTTTTAATGAATTTTCTGTGATCTGTCGCTTTTGACATGTGCCTGCTTAGTGTACTCTCGTTTAGTAATTTATTAATACATTCGTTCATCAAATCTGTGATACCTGGAATCGGGCTGGGAATTGTAGCCATTTTTCCAATAAACTTTTTCTTTGCATCGTTGTTTGAGAGGAAATGACTTGCACTGTCTTTGTTATTTATATAATTGCTGGTGGTGGCTCGATGTTGTTGATATGCTTATATAGATGTCTTTCGAACAGATGAGGGAACATTTACACAACGCGATCCAAGGTGTGAACAGGTGAACATTGTGGATTTTTCTCTTTTCTTTTTTTTTGTTTAGTAAAATCGTACAGTTTCAAAGATTCTTTCTTATTAATATTCATTGTGGAATGTTTCTTCTTTGTCTAACGTAGATGTGCTTTTCTCTTTTCGGCAATTCCTAAAACACGGTTTCATCGATAGAGTAGGCTTCATCTGAGTACCCTCGCAAGAAAAGCGAATTTCTCATTTCCTGGAGGCAGGGGCAAACGTGCGTTGCGCAGTTCTCGGCGGATAGTGGTCGTATTTGGGATTGAAGAAGGTCAAAGGACTCTGAAAAAGGTGTGGGGTCCTAGCTGTGGAATTCGACGGGGTCGTGATTGCGGAAGAAGGGCTCATGTTTGACCCTTTCGTTGTCCGTTTTGAAGGAAACTTGAAGAAGGAGCATGAAGTGTTGAGCCCTAATGGTGAAGCTGAAGCACGTGTCGACTTCTCTCAGAAATCAATACTTGTATAGAAACAACCATCGGGCGATGGAGAGTGAGGTCGTATTGCCCTCTTCACCACGTAAGGCTGGTGCTGGTGAGATTCTTATTGAGACCCCCTCCAAGAGGAGGAGTGTCGTCAAGTTCCCTAAAATAACCGCCGGTTGATCCTGATTGGAACGTCTGTCGTTGGGACTTGATCTGTGGCAGGGACGTAACTATAATATTATAGAGACAGGAGAAAGAAGGAAATCCAGTGAAGGTTGGTGTGCATATGTTTTCGCTGCAAGATTACGATTGGGGTTGGTTATAGGCACGGTAGCCGTAGCGTTTTGCACTGCATGCAACTCGTGAAATATGTCACCAGTTTGTGTGGAAATTTGAATCTCGAGTGAGCACGTTTTGGCTCTGTGACTTCTAGTTTTTCGTTCATTGCAAAATCTCCGTACCGTAGTTCGTTGACACTCGCTGAATAGGGATTGTTAACTTCCAGAATTAGTACAGGTAAACAATTGTTCAAGGAACTTTTTTTCGGCAAGATTGCTTAGATATGAGCCTACGAGCGCAATTAAAGGGAAATCTTAATACAGATTGCGGCGATCCAACAATGTTGTCAAGCAATCTTCCAGTTTTGCCTGCCGATTTGTTGGCACATTCTCTGCCCTCTGTTGAAAATGTGCATGGCGGTGACAGACATTTTCAAGGTGATTGGAAGGTCACCTATTTCTGCTAGAACGTTTTTTTTAAAACCGAAGTCTGGCAATTCGTAAATGCTCATTGGGCCAAGTTATTTTTTGAAAGGGTCGAATTAGAACTTGTTCAGATATAATCCCGAGAATGTTGGCGATTTGGGTCGATGCGTTCAGGCCATGGCTACAGAGAACGAATACGATAGGGACATTGTCCTTACTATACTCAAATTGTACCAGCTTAACCCGGACAAGCGAGTTTTCTACGGTCATTAGCATATCGATCTTTTTCATAATTTATTTTGTTCGGTTGCAGGTTTGACGAAAGCGTGGTCCGTTTGGTTCTTTTAAAAACATTGATGGTTCTGCCAGGGAGTGACTTTGCACTTGCCAAATGCCTCATTGATTCAAATCGTTTGGGATCACAGGTTCTTTTTTATCTATCTGCTCGTAGAGTGTTATTATGGAAAACTAAAGCGTCTATGGAGCAAATCTATGTCAGTCTTACTGACGCCACCTTTGATAAAGAAATTATATGATGGTGTCGTTGCGTGCATCGTTCTACTTTTAGGAACTAAAACGAGTTCTAGACCTTGGAAGTGTACTTGAAGCTTGTGATTTCGCCGTGTTCTGGTCACTAATGAAAGGAGAGTATAAGGTAGTTTCCTGGTTTTCCGTCTTACTTGACAGTTCTTCATTGTACATTTTGCAGCCGAGCACAGACATCTCGGAACCTTTCAAAGTTCCACAAGAAGTGCCTCGTATGGTTAAAGCCGTTGCTGGTTTCGAAGAAGCAATTCGCATTTGTGCGTTATAATCTAGCCTTATTTTTATAGTGAAATAATCTTCCATTTTCAGATGCCTGCAGAGTCATAAGTGTAACATTTCAAAACATAGAGAAGTCTGTATTGAGCCGGTTACTCGGCGGCGCTTCAGGTGATCATCATTTGTCTTAATTTCGTTTCAATGTTGCTCTTGATAAATATTCGCTTATTCAAGACAAGCAAGTCGCCGAATACGCGAAGAAATTTGGATGGGAGGAAAAACCCGATGGTGTCTATTTCATTGCGAACCATGAAGCAACGATACGCACGAGGAATATCGATGAGAAATTGCAGTTTACAAGTGGGTAAAATTTCTGTCCTCTCCGTGAGGTTTGCATTACTGTGTTTTCTGGTTCACTTTTGTTTTCTTTCTGGGAGACTGCCTTCCGAGGACTAGTCACATTTTCTAAAGCCACTACTTATTCACAAAATGTCTTGGAAAAATATTGTAGTCTTGTAAACTGCTGTGCAGAGTTCATTACACATTTCATTAAAATGCCAATTTCGAAACTTAGCTTCTTTGCGGAAATACATTAACGCGGAAGCGAATTCTCTGGATTTTCACACTCTCAACGATCATATGTTTTTCATAGAGAAGCCCTCGAAAAATGCAAAGCTATTCTGCAGTGTTTCATTCAAAGAGAAAATGGTTCCTAAAGGCAGAACACTGGTTTTCGCCCTGAGTGGTGGATTCCTTCATGAGACGATGGTGCTCCTTTTAAAAATCTCCAAAATTCTGGATGCCTCTAAATATTACCATTTACAAATTTTTGCATTATACCGTACGCTCTGCTCTTCATTTTCCTGTTTATCGCCCAAAAGGAAAATGCAAGCTACCTGAGGCTCACGAAATCTTTGCTAAACCAAAGCATTTGTAATCATTCCATAGACGTTTATGGTTTCGGCGTTTATGGTTGTAGTGGTGTACGATTATAGAATAAATACGAATAACTCGTGAAGAAGTTGCGCTAAGCCCGAGGGGAAGTATGAGATCAGTAGAACCCGCCCCCGCGTACCATGTCTAAATAGAGGATTCCATGATCGGAGGTCGAAGGGAAAATACACATAGTCGAAAGGCCGGCGGGTCCCTTGAAGGTGCGGGAAGATGCATGTTTCGCGCGAAGATTATGCCCACAACTGCCTAGCAGGACCATACCACTGGCGCTTGCCCCGCTGAACGCCCGTTGATACCCCTCGCCGTCTGACCCTGCCCATTCAGCAGAGAGAGCGTTAGCGTTGAAGAGGGCAGCACGATGAGAGTCGCATCAATGCGGAAATCAACGGGCAAAGGAAGGGTCCAATTCTCGGGTTTGAGGTCGTTTCTCATGATTTTCTTCATCCTTTACCCAGTGACAACCTCTACATTGGTTTCCAATGCGTTATTTTTTTATCGTGAGCCCTGCCTTCAAGAGATTGATGCCGAATAGATTGTCTGAACGCACCAGAAGCTCTGGTGAGCCGACCGATTTTCGACTCAGAGCATAATATTACATTTGTTTTTAAATAGCGACCTTTGTTACAAATAAATGTTTCTCCTTCAAAGAAAAATGAAGCGCAAAATGAAGCATGGTGCGGAAGTTGAAGGAATCTATTATCTTTAAAAGTTGACGTATTCTCATACATTTTGCGTGCTCTGTGATACTATACTAATTATCGTAGGCTAGACAGTAATGATATAATCAGAGAGGCCCTGTCTGGTTTTTGATTCTGGTTGATTATTGATCATGAATTTTCACTCTCGACGATGGGATAAAGTTGCGTTGTGTTGGAGGGATAGAACCCACCTCTCTTCAAACTTTATCAACCCTTTGTTGCTATTAGATAATTGGATGTTTTTCATTTGCAGATGTTTCCGATATACTGAAGAACATGCCTGGCATTCCCGTATTCGAGACATAAGTCAGTCCTAGCCCTGTTTTGTTGATCGTTTTGTTTTCACGTTGTCATTTTCCATTCTTGCTTTTTTGTTATTTGTCGGAGCAGACTTCCTACAGTGCTATTTTAATATTGTTCACCTTCCAATGTTTCACTAGTTTTATATGAAGAAGTCTTAGCTTGTTGAAACCCGTGATTGTATTTTAATTTCCAGACTGCTTTTCCACAAGTTACTTCTTCACAAAATTTTAAATAAAGTTGAATGGGTTTTCGCCTAGTAGGAGTCACGGGAAGTACCTTTACAGCCTAACAACCTTTGAGGAGCAACTGTGTTGTAAGAGAGTAAGAAAAGGCTGTTTAAGAGAAAGCACGGCTTCGAGCACAGCTTTCGATGATAACCATTCCTGAAAACTTTCACGTAAGCGGAATCAGCCCATATATAGAAGAGATTCCAGAGAATCATTCTGATATCTAAGAAACTTTCTTGGCAAATCTAAGTGTTTGGCGCTTAGGCGGGTACTGCACTTCTTTCCCATTGTCCACGAAAACCAATAAGGATTATGTGAACGCTGGGGAAATCAAAATCAACCACTCGATGAGCAAAGACTGCTTTGTTCGTAATTTATTCGAAAAAGGCAGTTCTACTCAAAGGCATAAGCGATTACAAGCACAGAAGGTTTGAGTTCGATCGTTCTTCTTTGAAGTTATAATGGGTTTAGATGGATCGATCATTTTGGCTTGTATTAGTTTTCCTCGAAAGTTCGTGCATTTTTTTGGATCTCATGCCACAAGCTCCTTCAGCAAATTCTAATTATGTCCAAATTCACGTAGGCTGTGGATAGGGCACACTGTGCAGTAACTTATACCCGAATCCTGCCCACCATCGTCGCCTTCTTCGAGTTCAAAGTGAGGAAAGATTGAAGCTATGTTTTCCAGGCTCTGAAAGAGCCGCTATCACGCCACAAACCGATCTTAGCCGGAAGTAACATCTGCATACGATACATCTAATTGTCATTGCCGGCCACGAGGACCAATATGGATACAGGGTCAACCGTGCGTTGGACAAAGTCCAACGAGGGGTGGGGGGTCGTATTTGGGGTGGAAAAAAGGGGGGGTCGTATTTCGCGAGGTAGCGTTAATGTTACAGTAAGGGAAGTGATGATGCAGTTGGTTGGCGCGCTAAAATTTTGCCGTTTCACGGTGTGTATAAGCCCCCTAGAAAATGTTGGTGAAATAGGGGGAAGTGAGAGAATGTTTGCGGTTTCTTAGTTTCGTAGTAGGTATATACCCCCTCCCTACCCCCGCTCGGCGGCAATTTTTGGAAGAAAAAAGTGGGCGGAGTTTGGGTTGTGTCGACTGGTCTCAGAATCGAATACTAGAAACACTACTACACTAATACTGGGGTCGTAAAATTTCCGAAATCGGTCCAACATGACGGTTGACTGTATGGATAAATATGGTCTTTGCTTTTTGCTGTTAGTGTATCTTCGCTGAGGAGAATACAGCTTGGAGAAAAACCCTCATTCAGGAAGGCCATCGGTGTCGGAATTCGACAGGCTGCACTTTCCCGTTGAAGCCATCCACACGGGATTACCTGCTTGTGGCCACCACACCCTGATGTTTCAGATGCACAGTTCGTAAAGGTTCTCGCTCCTTCGTAAATGGTTGAAGCCTCGCCAAAGATTCCCTCATGAATTGACCACTGATGACAGGAGTGCGACACGAACTCCGTCTATAATTTGGTTCCTACTCCACCCGTACGCCCTGGTTGAACAAAGCCACTACTGCAGTTGAGAAGCTCAGGTTTCATGACAACCACACCAGAATCCCAGGGCCAGGATCGAGCCGAAGGGGCTGGAAAATGGACAAATTCAACACAACGTCATGCGCTACGCCTTTTTTGAAGCGTTCTCTACTTACCCGCTAAAACATCTTCCTCGTTATAGCTATAAAGTCAGTGATGAATTGCGTGATCAGAGGCACAGATTCATGGCCAAACTCTAGCAACTTTCCTTAAATCTCAAATAAATACATATTGTCGCACACGGTGGGCAGCCCTCCCTTGTACCTCAGCAGCTCGCCAAGGCTTCCCATCGTGTAGCTACGCCTCTCCTGCGCACCTCACAGGAGGTGCGGACCATTCCCCCGGGGACTAAGGGGACTTCCAGCCGGCCGCACACGCGGAACTACACTGGCTGGGCACAACGCGTCCTGACCCATAACCTTAGTACAAATGCCCACGGCTACACGTACAGAGTTAGGGTAAAACCACAACATTATACAAACACAACACATATATTTACTAATACGTTTATTATATACGTAATATGTATATATACCATTGCTCGTCAGACTCCCTGAGTCACCTCACTCATGGGTGTGCCTCACCAGCTGGCTAACGTATTAAACCCCCATTTGCTCGGATGTTACACTTCTAGGGGGCCCGCACGGTCAGCGGGTCCGAGACGGGGCGTGATACCAGGCTGCTCCCAGACGGGGAGCAGGGGAGGGACCACGACCAGTTAACGGGTGGCGCTCCGCAACCTTCCAGCTCGGAGGGGACATCCCTCCTCGCCTTCCGGGGCCTCCTCGCGTTGCCCGGTGAAACACCGACCAACCCCTGGATGCCAGCACTGGGACACGTATTAGACACTTCAACATTAGCACCTCAACTGCTAGGGGGCTCAACGCCATTCAATACACTCACCTGACAGCTAGGTAGACATAGGGGACGTCCGAGGCAAGGCAGGTCACCGCTCGCCGTAAGGCACACACGACGACTGCCCGCTGGCACTGACCGTAGGGGGCGGAGCCAACGGCGCACTACTGGCGCGAAGCCGACACGTTGCGCTGTTGGCAACCGAGCAGGAATGGGCCAGGGAGCGCGGTGCCCCAAGGGCGACCGTCGCATCCGCGACACTCCCGAGACAGCGAAAAGTGCCTCGGCGGACGCGAGAGGCCACGATGCCCCTGCTGGGTAGATAATACACCGGCGCCCTGAATTAAGGCCACTTAGACTGAGACCCCTAAGGCAACTGGCTTGGCACGACACCATTACACATTTTTCCTACCTACAGGTGACCCACTAAACTACAAGTCAATGGCTCATACGTAATATGGTGCTCCAGGAGCAACCCAAGCATCGTCAATATGATAAATCTTCGACAAAAACCAAAGGCGCCTTAAGGGCAACCAGAAAGAGAACAAGGGGACACCTTAAGGGTGACCCAAAGACAATGGAAATAAAATACAACGATGCTTAAAACGTACTAGCTTAAAACCCCCACAGCGAAATACACACAACACCTAGGTGCCTTAAGGGCAACTCACAAAAAAAGGCTAAGGGAGCGTCTTAAGGACAACTCCAAAAAACACTTTATCACACGAAGCGCCTTAAGGGCCACTTCAAAGAAAAAGACTGAACTGCCAGAACGGTGTCGTTGTAGCTCGCCGCAACTTTCTTCTCCAGCTCCGATCCATCACCAACTCCTTCACCAATCAATCTCGACCAACGTGGGCTGGACTGCTCGATGTTGTTGTTGTCCTCGCACACGTCGTCATCATCGAACTCGTTTCATCGCCGGATTCGATCCTCGAACCACTCGCATCTCGACCGCCCTTGACTGACATCCTCGAACCAACCATCTCGCTTGCCCATAACCAACTCGATCTCGTCCGGCTTTTGCACTTTCGCTCGCTGGATGGATCGACTCGAACCTAAACGAAGTAAAGGGGGGTGCACACCCAAAGGTGTGCTTTAGCAACGTAATAAACCACAGACATCTACACTGAGTCAAATAAGCTTTGACAAACTTACCTGAAGTGAGCTGCCTGTGGACGGAATAGAACACAGCTAAGAACGCACTAACCTGAAACACACATTAACCAACTTACCTATAGCGAACTTACCTGTGTACGTAATAGACCAGGGTCAAACCGCACTGGCCACGTAATAGCGGGGGACAACTACTTCCCGCACGTAGTATGAGGTGCACACACCTCAGTGCCTTTCCCTCGCGGCCGAGGGTTCTCTAGAAGGCCTTCTGGAAGGCCTCGCCCGCGGCCTTATGCGGGCAATTCATGCGGCTGGCGCTGACTGCGGTGTGGTGGAACCTCTCGATATGATGCATCCGCGACACTTCGATAGAATCGCTGTGCCATCATATCGATGTCGTTAACGATAAAGATGTTTCTTACACAGATTGCTTGATGGTGATCCAGCTCTCCGCATAGTCCACATCCATCGGCACGGATGCACTGTCCATAGTGTCTATGCAGACACACGGTGCAGTATCCGGCTCTTACGAGGAGGTTTGCCCTCACGCTAAGGTGCCTATACCTGTCACATTCGGCCGAAAAATGGTCCGTGGATGAACAGAAGACACAGGGTGGCTGCCCTGGTGGTGGAATTGTTTGCCTTGGCAGTGGTGGCAGTCCTCGCCTTCTGTTCTCCTGTGCAGGTGGCTCCTCGTACGTAATACTGGAGCTCGACTGCGAGGAATACTCGCGTCGGGCTCTCACATCGACTTCTTCACGCGAGTCTTGGCTTACCGCTCGCTTCCTCTTCCTGCCGCGACGTCCGCGGCGGGACCTGGATCTGGACCCTGGGGGTCCAGCCTCCCCACTTTGGCGAAAACTCGGCCCAGGGCGAGGTGGCGGCGCAGCCGAAGGTTCACGTGGAACGGGTGGGAGCGGCGTCCGTGGACGCTGGTCCTGACGAAGTACTGGTGACTCTTTTGGCGCAACCCATCCCGATTTGAATTTTGGTTTCTCGGGGGGTTGACCAGCTGACGTAGTAGGTGCAGGGGCTCGAGACGTAGATGGAATTATACGGTTCGAATGAACCGCAGAGTCATAGATCCCAGAACTCTGCGAACCTAGCAACATCTCCATAAATTACGGGGATCCAAGACAATAGGTAAAACGAATAGCTTGATCGTGCATGGCGCGATCGAGCAACGAATTAGGAAGGGTTACTCCTCCTCTTTTTCGGGTCGCGGTGGATCCGAAGTTGGGTAGGTAACTCCCTCCGACGTATTAGGGCCCTGTGGCTGGTTGTCCTGTTCCCGGAAGAGTTCTTCCTCGGAGCGATGGGACAACTGACCACGGGTCAACGTAGTAGGCCTAACTCCCGGTAACGTCTGAGGACGAACTGGAGTGGCGACGACAGTAACGTTGCCTCGCGACATAGCTTGCAGTGCAAACTCAAGGCGAGCAAGAAGATCGTTCGCTGTATCCTGGGCAGCTTCTCCCCCACTGGCAATCCAGTGGGACATATAGTCGCTGACCAGTGCACGGCGCACCTCTTCCGACTCTCCTTCAAGTGCATGCTGCATTGCCAAATCTCTAACTTGAGTGGCATAGTCGCAGGCACGAGATAATACGTGATGTGCAAGACCGAGGGCCTTTTCATGGTCCTTGATCTGCGCATTCGCAGTGAACGTGATCTTCAGCGAGCTGTACGTCTTCGAAAAGAGAAGGTGAGAGGTTTGTTAGCAGCCGCTCGCTCTCTGAAGATTAAGTGCTGCATGA